TGGGATTCCTGGAAAAGTAGTCCATGTGGGGAGAAGTACAGGACCTTTCTTCTAAATAAAAACCAGGAAGAGTTATTTTTCAGGGGATGTGTGTTGTGGGAGGGGAAATACGCAAACCCTAACCTAACATTTATTGTTCCTTTCTTATTTAAAAAGATGCAACATTTCACTAAACAATGAAAAGTTGCTGATTATCAGCCATCCCTATCCCAGTGCCTCCTGTGAGAAGAATAATAGAAATTGAAGAGCTCTTCTTAAGCAAAAGGAAGGAAGGAAGATAAACATTGCCTTATATCAGAGTAGTCATCTGCCCCCCACACCTCCCTAGTTTCCGAGTTTGATATTAAGGTAGCTGCCACGTCCTAACTCTGATGTGTATTATTTTGCACAGCTTGCAGTGCAAATTGCAAAGAGAAATGAAGATATATATTTTTCCCTGAGCAATAATAGACCCTTTATCTAGTTATTTTGATTACAATATTGGCCTACATTTTAAAGTTGGTTGGCAGAAATCCTGACAACTGAAAAAAAAGTGAAAGATTTTTTTTTTAACAACAACGCACTGCTATACAATAATCTGGAAATCTAAAATTAAATATTTAATTAGAATTTTGATTTGCTTTCAAGATAGGTGGCATTGCACAGGCTATATTACAATCTTTTATACTTTTTTTGTTTTGCCAGAAAAATTACTGTATATTTTAAACAGGCCACTTTAATATTAATACATGTGTAATAGATTCAGAACTGAAAAAATCAGCTAAAGATGGTGCATTTTACAGTATTGGGAAAATTACAGGATTTTCTTTCTTTGTATTGTAAAAACATTTTTAACAATTTACCTACATTAATCAAAAAGTACAGCATATTTAATAATTTTACAAATGTTTCATAAAAAATATATCTCTGTACAAAAAAGTTCTTTTGCACCTACTTCATGTCACAGCAGCATGTCGTGAAATGGCAGAATGGAATACCAAGAATGAAAATTAAGTTGATGATCATAATGCCAGCTTCCCCCTCCCCCTTCTTGAATGACAGCTTGTTTAGTTTACAAAATATATTACAGAAGAAAAAAAAATTATTGCAGCTAGCCTGGAGAAAGGCAAGATGAGTAATACAAGCAGATTTAAACAGCTTTGAAGCACATTACCTATTTTTTTAAATTGTTCTTTCTTTTAGCATTTTTACCTTTGCTTTATCATAATCTATCTGATACTTCTTGGGGAAGAGTCAACTATAAATGCCTCACAGAAAAAAAAAATGCATTACTTGCTTTGGCATGAGAATACCACAACAGCTGAGGGAACTTGGCTGTGTTTTCAAGTCACTCTGCAGCTCAAGCCCTACTCAAGTGAATAGACTTTAGGTGGCACTTGAGGATCTGGGCTGTGAAAATTATGGAAGAAATGGAAGATCAAACCTGGTCAGTGCAGTACAATGCGACTGTAACAAAAACAGATGGAACACAAAAACTCTTTAGAGATAGGCACAGAGGTGACCCAAAAAAACAAAAAAAAAAAACCTTTCTACAAGCCTATTTTTATTAGACAGATACACTGTACGTCCAAAACAAGCTGTTTCCTGCAGTTTCGCCACTATCAGTGGGACTGCAGAAAGTTTAGTACCAACTCAAATGAAATATTTCCAAGTGAATTGTTTTGCCTGCATTAGGTAAAGTGTTGATGACTTCTAATTGTAGCATAAACAACCTTACTCTTTGTGATATAATTATACTTCACTGATACATGTGAAGTACTGTATAGTCACAATCCTAAATAATGACATTATAAAGAAAAAGAAGCAAAACTATAATTCTAATTTCATGATTCATTCTGGTCAATGAATGGCACTGCTTTAACTGGAACATTCTCCCGATTCACTTCAGTAGATGAAGCTCATCCAGTGGGCCTTCTCCTGTGCAGCTTAGTTCAAAGGAGTGAACAAGGCTCCCCATAGAGATACTTTGCATTGATCAGCACAGGTAGATCTCTGAATCAGGACACATGCTGATAACACTGTATTATAAAACTTTCCTTCTTGTTACATTTTATCCAGACTTGATAACAATTAGAAAAAATTCTCTCAATTGCTGTATGTTTCTGAATGACTTTGGTTACTTTTGCCATCAGTATAATTGTAGATAAAGTGACTACAAAGGCAGCAGTGACAGTTTGTCTTTCTCCAATGGGAAACAGTACAAGACAGCAAGGAAGCTGCACTTCAAGAAATGTAGACGCTGCTGTCCTTTCAGAGAATGCAAACATCTGTTGAAGATCATATAAAATTGTAAAAGCACATGGCATATTCATAGGTTATCAGCATTGGAAGCAAAGCAAAGTGTCTAGACATCTCCTAGGTTTATAAGAATAAACTTTAAAAAAAAAATCAAGCGGACAGCAAAATATATTGATATTGCTGGTATCTTCCATCAAAACTATATAACATTTTCTATTTTGATCAGATTGCCTTGCAAACTTTTCTTGCCATATAACATAAAGGTATCATCTTTCTTGTTAACATTTAATTTTTGGTAATGTATTTAGTCATTAAAGTGTTCAACAAGAATTAAAAACAAACAAAGAAACCAACTTTGAGAGGGAGGGTGGACAAAATCACGGCCAAGGTCCAAACAGCTACTTTAGGCACCCAGGGATTTGGATTGCCAAGGGTTGTTCCCCCCCCCCCCCCATTAACCAACACAAAAAGAGGTCCTTGCAATATACTCATTTAGTCTGAAAACCTGTTCCATTGTTCCATTTCAAAAATAATTTGATGTAGCCTAAGGGCTTTCATTTTACATAACCCCGATGTTCCTGAGGATGTGAGGAGCTAATTGTGCAGCTGTTTAGAACCTGTCTTGTGTACTAACTTGAAGAAACTTTGGGAAAGAACAATCCTAAAAGATTTTCTTTCTTTTCCCCTTTCTTTCTTTCTTTCTTTCTTTCTTTCTTTCTTTCTTTCTTTCTTTCTTTCTTTCTTTCTTTCTTTCTTTCTCTTTTTCTTTCTTTCACCAGATCAGTGGTAATATACCTCATTATTGTCCCACTGATGCTAAGAGAAATAATAGCAATGAGTTATCCTGTAATGATATAAATTACACCATGCCTATGGTGGCTAACAGTGCATAAGCACATGTCCTTAAGTCCATCAGGATGAATTAGGTATTTGCACATCATTGCATAACTGTCGAGAGAATTGCATGCAAGCTAAAACTGGATGTAACCAATGAGGTTGACTTAACTGATAAAAGTTGCAGTCAACTTTTTGGGCAAGCTGAATTGTAAGTGAACTTTAAACTATGAGATGGTGCCCCTCTATTGCCCAATACAATACAATGAGCCTCCTATGCCTTGTTCTCACACTAATCTACTAAGCACAGGAGTAGAGAGTAGCAAAGCCTGACTACACCATACCTATCTCTGTAGGTATCCTTAACCCTGTCCAACAGTGCTATAGATTCCTTATGCCAATGCCACTTGGGGCATCCCATGCTGTAGGTTTGCCACACTGAATTAATGATCCTTATCAAAGGATTACATGATCAAAGAATCTGTCAGTTATTTTTGTCGTAGCCCCCCTCCCCTTTTTTGGGGGAGGAGAGGCTATGCTCATTTTATTACTGAGGAATACCTCTAAATCTCAAACTTGCTCTGTCAAGCTGTATGATTACAAAAGCATTAAGCAGTATTGGTTAAAAATGTAACAAACAAAACAATCTCACACACACACACACACACACATCCATAGAACCCATGGAAAAGTGTCATGGTTGCTGTGGGACGTTGCTCTGTTGATTATGACTGAAGTTCTGAGTTCTATGCATCTGAAAGCATAATGGTACAGCAGAAATCCATGTAACTTGAGAGGAAGAATAAAAGATGGAGAACAAATGCAAAAAGGAAGACTGTATTATGAGCACAAGGCTCACAGGCTTTATGAACTATTTAAAATAAATTACTATTCACATTTTGTACATGGCAAGCAGCAGAAGCTGCCTGGCCCCCCTGCTGTTATACAGTATGATACTGACAGAATGAATAACATCAGAGAAGAAACAGTACTGGGAATAATGTTTAGTAAATGTGGGACCCCTCTCTCAATAATCCAGTTAATTATACTTATTCTTATCCTTGGTGTTTATAGGGGGGGAAAAAAACCAAAAACCAAAAAACTGAACCAGAATATAGTCTCCTTCTGTTCATGAATTATCCTAGCAGGATTAAGTAAATGGATTATTGTATAACATACACTCTAGAAAAAATATATATAATGGAATGACTTACTGGATTAAAAAAAAAAAGGCTAAATGCTTATATACAATGAATAGTGTGTATAAACCCTGTATATTTGTTTTTTAACCAGTATCTTACTCATTCATACCACACTAGTGCAAAAAATTGTGCATTAACATTTTGCAATACAACAGCTGACTGGGAAGTTTGTAGACTGCCTTATATATGAACATCTGAGATACACTGTACGGCTGTACTGTGAACAAGGTTTCCATAGTAAAGCATTTTGTAGGTGTGTGCAGGCCCCAAGGAAGTTTGTCATCTTCTTCTTTGTCATCTCCTTTGATTGGTTTTGTTTAAATCTCCTTCAGAGTGTTCTTATTCCTGGGGATAATTTATGGTGCTATTGTTTGTTATCGGTCCCAAGGGAGTGATCCAAGTGCCCAGAAGATTGCATTGAAAGGCATCCAGCCACATACAAATGTGAAAGTCTGAGGCATTTAAATATGACAGATGGGTATGACTTGGCAGTCTTCCTTGAAAGTGTGCCTTAATTTGGAGCAAATACAGCCAGGTATTTCAAATCCACCTTTGAGACGAAGACATTATCTTAGTCTTGATTCCCCAGAAGACTGATGTTCCAGCAAAAAGCTTTGCTGCATCTATGCCAGTAGATGTTAAAGATTACAGCAGTGAAGTCAAGTGAAGAAGGGAAACTGGTATATGGCACCAAAGGAATTACTGCTTGTCCATCAGAGGTATGGCTATGAATCAGTCAAATTGGGCACTGAAGGCTATACCACTGTACAAACTGTGTTCAGAGTTGTGTCAAACCGCACAGCTTTTGCCTCTGTGGGCTTTAAGTTTGTATCATACATAGGATTTTCAAATGATGCCTGTCCATTGCTGTTTTCGTGTCCAGCATAACCATTGTACTGTACTTTTGGTCTTGTTCTGTAAGTTTAAAAAAAGAAAGAAAAGTCTGAGATTCATCTGCTGGAAATTTGGCAGAAATAAAATAATTTCTATACTCCTAGTACATGAATACTCTTCGCTCTTTCAAGGCATGATATTCAGAGAGTGAAACTGGAATCAGCCCAGTGAGCATGGAGCAGAATGGTAAAATAAACAAACAGGCCCATTTCTCATATATTAAAACAAGTACCAACATGGCTTTCCACATTATTGTGGGATTCAAGAAATTAATCTGGATTCTTACCTGACTAGTAACATCTCTTCTAAGAAGTAAAAGAATAGGTTGGGTCCTGGAACCTGAAGAAAACAAGCTTGTCTGATCTTTCCAGCTGAAATGAGAAGCCATAGCCCACCTTCTCCAAAATTCTGATCCTGGAGTTTCATCTGAGGAATGCTTTCCTCAGAGAGACTCGCTCAACATAAACTTTCAGTGCCAAACTAATATTGTTCTAAGCATAATCTATAATTTGGGTTTGATTATGGTTTTATCTGTGTTTTGATGCTGAATCTACTATTTTATCTGACATTGGTTAAATATTTGCTTTTGTTTCTGTTCTTTCATTCTATTCTAGTTTGAGAATTTTTTTCTGGAGGGTGGCATAAAAGCATTCTAAGGAAATTGCAGGGTTTGTTTATTCACATCACTAAAATGAACTGGCTCTCCTAACCACTTGTTATGGATAGGTGACAGTGTCAAAGAATAACAAAAATAAACACCAAGTTCTTTGTCGTTCCCCATGTTAAAAAGAAGTGAACTAGGGCTAGCTTACTATACCCAAGCATGAGCCAAGACAGATGCTAATTTACTTGAATTTGCTAATTTAATTGAAAATAGGGTGACCAACATGACAAATTTGGAAACATGCTTCTTCTGGAAAGAAGAGATACAAAGACTGATAGAAAAAAGATGAAAGCTCATTATCACTGCCATTCATAACATTCTCAATTACTTAGTTAACCAAAAAAAACACACCTTCATCTTAATACAGCTGGCTATTTTGCATGCTAAATTGTAGGATGAAAATATTCTAATTTCTCTACTAGATTTAATCACTCAGGCTAACTTCAGAGAAATAAACACTTCAAGCAATGTACTCATAGATGCTGCCTAGAATAGAGTTTAACAGATGGGAATTGGTTTCTGCTAGGTGTTGAATGTTTTCATTCCGGTGCTTAAGACTAAGAGCCTGCAAAATGACAAGAAATATCTTCAAGACCATTTCCCATTTTTGTAATTCCAAAAATAGATTTCAGCAGGTAAAATCCCTATAGCATGTTTTTTTTAAAATTAAAGCAGTGGGATTACAATCGTTCCTTTCATAAGCCAATGTCAACGATGTACGTAATAGTTTGCAATGTCACTTGTAATACTGGCAATAGATCTGGGCAAATGGGCTCGTCAATAGCTGGCTACCAATGATAATGCACCATGTGTAAATTAGCATCTGTCTTGGCTCAAGCATTGCGTACAAAAAGGCATATATTTGGAGAAGTAATGTACAAATAACCATACATTTGGAAAAGTTGCATAAATATTAGAGCAGTGGAAAGCATTTGGAGGGGCACTTCTGTAACTGTACTGGCATGAACAAAATGCCTCTCCTCAAAGACTGGAAGCAGCTGCAACCTTCATAAGAGTAAGCATAGCTTCCTTATAGGTTTTTCCAGGTCACTTCTGCAGACCAGTTTTGTTGTCCTGCAAAGCAAATGTTTTATCAACACATGCATAGACCACCTGGGAAACACTTGAAAGCAGCTAGGTGGAGATTTCTTGGACATGCCGCTGTCTTAGCATCCCTAATAGATATAAATGTAGGCTTTGTACAAAGGCATGTATTAATGAAAATTAACAACAATCTATTTGGTTGCTGTTTGTTTTTAAATAATGCACCAAGACATTGTTTAGCATGATTTGTACAGTTGCAGGCAGGAGTAGGCATCCTTTTTGAGATTTATATTTAGAATTTGGATCACACACTGAGGGCTGAGCCACTCCCCAAATAACCAAGCTGGAGAGGTTGCTCTCTTCCACTTCTGATAGAGTTAGCACTCCTTTGTCTTGGTGTGTTTACGTGTGTGTGTGTTTGTTTGTGCATACTTATAAACAATGCATTGAATTGCAGGCAGTATCATTTTATTTTATTCTTATTATATAAAACTTAAGTGGAGCCCATTGGGAATCTAATAAATTTGGAAATTTATTCCAAAAATAATGTTTTGGAAATGTGGAGTCCTTGGGGTTCTCTGAGCTTGGTCGTTTTCTTGCAAACGTTTTGTTACCCAGCTAGGTAACATCTTCAGTGCTTGAATGGAGTGGGGTTTGCTCTCTGTTTATATACAGTGGCTTGCCCTGGCAGGGGTGGGGGGGGGGGGGTGTTT